GGTAGAGCGGCGTGCCGACGAAGAAGCTGCCGACGGCGATGGCCATGACGACGGCGGGGATGCCGAAGCCCCAGCCCCAGCCGTAGCGCACCTGCACGTTCACCAGCACGGACGACGCCACCAGCGCGCCGATGTTGATGGACAGGTAGAACCAGTTGAAGAAGGAGCTCTTGCTCCGCCGCTCGCTCTCGTCGTGCTCGTCGAACTGGTCGGCTCCGAACGAGGACACGCAGGGCTTGATCCCGCCCGTGCCCAGGGCAACGAGGTACAGACCCACGAACACCGCCGCCGTCTGCCCCGCCGTCGGGTCGCACACCCCCTTGGCCGCGCACGTCGGCACCAGCCCTTTCACCGACGCCGCAACCGTCAGGAGGCCCAGGCCGATGACGTAGATGATCACGAAGGAGGCGATGGTCCAGAAGCGGCCGAGGTAGGCGTCGGCGAGGAAGGCGCCGATGAGGGGGGCGGCGTAGCAGGTCCCCGTCCAGTTGCTGACGGTGTTGGCGGCGTCGCTCTTGTTCATGCCCATGTTGTCCAGCATGAAGTTGCTCAGGTTGGCGCTCATGCCGTAGTACGCCAGCCGCTCGCAGCATTCGTTAGCTGCAATTCATGGATCAACGCCATGGCTGGCTAAAAGAGCAGGGCAACAACGGAGTCGTCGTTTGTATGCACGTACGTACCGAGGATGTAGGGGCAGGCGCGCCAGGTGCCGGTGCTGCTCTTGACGGCCTGGTTGCCCTTGATGTCCACGGTGCCATCTTGGGTGTAGATGGTGTCCGCGCCAACCTCCCCCATTTCCACCTGCTACTTTTTGCTGCTCAGACCTCAGAGGAGCAACTTTTGTAATGGGCAAGACAAACAGGATGGTTTGAAATTTTGAATGGCATCGAAGGTTTATATATCCAGATCAAATGAGAAAGTACAAAAGAGATGAAATCAGCCAGTCCAAACCTCTTCACATGCTGACAAATGAAATTTGTTGGAATTAACCACAACTGTGTGTCCGTACCGGTAACAGTCACCGAGTAGCTAGCTTTTATCGATCCGCCGGCGGAAACTCTCACGCGAAAAGCACATGTACGCGTACCACCAGAGAGGATTTTTTAGGGGAGCCAGTTGTGTATGCTGCATGATAGACGCTAGGACATGCATGTTGTATTCGGCCAGTCAACAAAATCCATACGCGCTGTATATATGCAAATCGATGTCGACTACGTTTGTCTATTTGTGAACATCTACTGTCACGCGAACCAAGCTGTGGTTCCATGGTTAGAGGGACTGTGGTATCCCTAACCCATCAGGGTTCAATTTCTGATGCTCGCATTTATTTCTGAATTTATTTTAGGATTTTCGGCGATGTGCATTCAGTGGGAGGAGACGTTTTCGTCGACGACGAGGCGCCTACGATATGTCGGCTCATAGGGATAGGGTGAGTGTATGCGTATGAGCGTTTGTGTCTGTACTGATGTTCAAAAAAGAACATCTACCATCACGATTACCAAATCAGGCGCCCTATATGTCCCCGGCACGTCTGGACACGTCCACGGATGGTTACCAGTCGGATCTCAAATTTTCGCCCGCACAGCCGAGGCGTAGCTCATATCTGACACCCCACATCCATACTACGCATGCAAACGTAATTAAACAACGGACAAAGAAATCGGCATCAAACGAACAACAAAATGCATATAAACCCCCTTTACATCATCGAAAAGATCACCACGGTTCATCGCTGGACAAGTTCTAAACTTAAACAACTAAAAAACAATAATATAAATGGATGAGGAGAGGGATCACCACTTCCTCGCGGGCCCTTTGCCCTTCTGGTCGACGGCGCAGCGATAGGCGCCCGTGGCTAGTGGTGAATCGTTCGAGTCGTGATCAAAGGAGTCGTCGTCGTCGTCGTTGGACGAGTAGTCGACGATGACAATGAGCCCCTTCATCGGACGGACGCCACGCTTCACCACCCAAGCCGCCTCCGTCGTTCCCTCCGCCGCCTCGTGCTCTGACTGCTCAATGGCAAGCCAGAGCGCCTTAGTGCTCTTCCTCCGTAGTCGGCGACCGTCCATCTTCGCCATCGTCAGCCACCGGCTATAGACCAAAGTGAGGAGCCGCTCGTCCTCGTCGTCGGCAACCCGCGGCGGCAGCGCACAGATTGCTCCATTGTGTTCTCTCCCTTGCCCGCTGCGTCTCGCGACGCGCACCTCGCGTGCGCGCCCGAGCCGGCAGAGCAGGCACTAGCACCCTCCGCCTCCCTTGCGGAGCAGCGATTGGCGGGGAAAGGGGACAACATGGGTCAGTGCCACCCTGACGGAGCTGCGCGCGGGCCAGGAGGAGCCAGTTCCAACGTCTGCGTTGCGTCGACATGGGAGCAACGACGGGGCAGATCCAAAGTTGCCCCCTTGTCCACCTTGGACTTTTCCAGCGCAATGCGGAGGGCCAGCTCGTTGATGCCGAGGTTGGAGTCGAAACTCTGGCGACTGGTGGAAAGATGTGCTCTTTTCCGACGGCGGCTACATGAATGCGGAATCCATCGGGGGGATAAATCTCAGCAGGTAAATGAGCCCAACTTTGCCGTTGTACTACTACATATTGCATTTATAAGTATCTTGAGAATTTGATGGCGATGTTCTTTGGTACATAACATAGTCATTTGTTGCATCTTTAGGTTTGGAAGCCATTTGTGTTTTGAAAGTTCGATACTCATAGTCATTTGTTGCATCTTTAGGTTTGGAAGTCATTTATGTTTTGAAAATTCGATACTTTTAGAGAAACTTGCTTGACCCCTCAATGTCATTCACGCAACTGATCCAAAGCTTAAGGAGAATTTGACCATGTGTAAGTTAATTATCCCTACTCCTAATGTCTTATTTGGTAGGATTGTATTTTTTTTGTCTCCCATTTTCGTCTGTTTTTTTTGTCTTCCTTTCCACCACCCCACCAGTTTATTTTCGTGTCACCTCTCACACAACGAAAAAAATCTAAACGGATCAAGACTTTTCATGCCGATGCAAGTTATTTAGTAATGTATTTATGTGAAATAATCAATCACGATCAATCCCTATGAAATTTAAATTAATTAATCTTACCTTAAATCAATCAATCACATTAATTTGGAAACAAATAACCGATTTTAAGAAAAATCGGTCAATAACTCTAAATCAGCACTTGGCTCTCGGCGTAGCGAGGGAAGGGGTGATGCCGTCTTCTCTTGACTATGCGGGTAGCACGGAAAGGGGTGGCGAGTGATTCTGGCATTGACATGACTTTGGCGATGGTGGCTCACTCGTTCTCGTTTCGATCTGGAGGTCCCGTGTTGGCAATGCGACCTTTCTTCCATATTGGGTCGGGTCCGGTTGTACCTCGGGTGGCTATGGCGAGGATCCAAGCGAAAGCTCTATGCTTTTGGTGGCAGTGGTGGTGATGCCTGCGGATGTCACTTACCACTTGGGGGCGTTGAGGGAGTCCTGAATTAGGGGGTCCTCTGGTGTCCGGGCTATTTGATATGGGCTGGACTGATGGGGCGTCAAGATACAAGCAGAAGGCTTCCCTCCTGTGTTAGGGTAGGACTCCCCTATGCGTGGACGGCAAGATTGGTGTCCGGATATGTTATTTTCTTTCCTTACAAACCCTTTGTACAACCCTAGGTCCCTCCGGTGTATATATAAACTGGAGGGTTTAGTCCGTAAAGGCTATTGTAATTTTCATAGGCTAGACAGTTAGGGTTTGGCCATTACAAGTCTTCGGGAGACTCATTATTAGCTTAATCTCTCTAACAAGATAAGCATAAATTGATCTGTCGATGTTGGTGGTCTACACTAGCTTGACGAATTCCAGGGAATCAACCTCCAATTCAATAGGTAGCTTAATTCTCACTAGGGAAGGTGATATAATCCCTCTATACATGCACAAATTTCTGCCCTCTTTATTGTCGTTTTTTATTGCTTGACTTGTTTGGATCGAATTTTTATTGCTTGACTTGTTTGGATCGAATTTTCGCTGCCATTTTGTATGGATTTTGTGATTTGGGCAATTCACTTTGTATCGGTTCGGTAGATTGGGTTGTGCGTTGCCATGGCCCCAGGAGCCGGAAGAAAATCAACGCAATTACTTCCTCCGTTCACTTTTGTAAAACATTTTCAAATTTAAGACAACACCCAAAATAGTTCAGTTTCGGCTGTCTTGAACGACTTAAGAAAGTGAACAGAAGGAGTAGAGGAGTTGGGAGAAACATGATCTTCCGAGATTAGCAGACACTGCAATCTTATAAACATGGTTGTTTCCTCCTAGTGGGTCGAGGTTAGATGGCAAGATGGGAATGCGCTCTTTGCCGGGTGCGGTGTTTCGATCGCTCATCTGCATCCGGTCCAAAAAAAAAATTAAAATGAATATTTGATGCATGAGGTTTGCTTTATTTTTTAAATTATTTAGACATCTGAGCAGCTTTTGGTAAAAAGACAAATCGATTCGTGTGAGTAGTAAATATTTTTACAGACCCTAGATTTCTAAATAATTTAAAAAATAGATCGAACCTCACGCATCGAATTATCTACCACAATTCTTTTGATTATTTTAATATTTATTTTGATTTTTCTCGTCAGGGCCGGTGAAGCTGAGCCTGGGCTCAGAAAATTTGTATGCAATTTTTATTATTTAAAATCTGGATTGTAAGTTTTTCTCGAAAAAAAAACTTCGTACCCCTACCCTCTGCATCTTCGTGAAGGATACTTTGAAGCTGAACTTTCTCTAACAATACTGCACAGTACACTGAAACTGAAAGAAAAATATATCTTCCAGATCCCTGCCATTTCTTCTAGATAACTGCCACCACCGGTACACTGACGCGAATAGTAGTACAAATTACTCGTCCCGCCCATGTCTAATTACAGTCTTCTACACGTATGTACAGAGGCCAATCCAGTTGCCTCCTTAATGCTACAACTTTGCACCACACAACGCCTCGGCGGTCGCAGAGCAAAGAAAAAGAATCCGGCGAGCCGTCAGGCAGCGTCGCAGTTGACATCCTCGGGCTCGCCCACGTTGTAGTAGAGGGTGGACTGCCGGCCGTCGAACTTGGAGACGACGTTGTGCGCCGTGAGGCCGCAGTAGCACTTCCTCAGCCGCTGGATGCAGATGTCCATGATCTTCTGGAACATGTGGTCCTCCTGGATGAAGGGCTGCTTCACGAACTCCTCCAGCGGCATCCACTGCACCACACAAAGCCAGATTACAGAAGCTTCAGCAAAGCAGAATACTCTGAACCGAAGTTTCTACTACCATGGGAGTCGATTTTCAGGTGTAGTTTTGAAGATGGTGATGACGTACCTTTGCTGCCTGAATCTCCGTTTCGTCGATCTTGATCGCGCTCGACAGAGGCCTCAGCATGCAGATGAAGAACAGGTCCGACTTCTGAAACGCCACGTTGTGCGCGTGCCTGTCATTGTTTTACGGTTTCAGTGGTGAGTGAGACAACATTCAGGGTATCATAACAGTTTCAGAGTTACTGCGCTGAGGTGGATGAGTGTTTACCTGAAGGCAACCACATCCACGAATTCAGTGTCAACCTGCACAGAGCACCACAAGAGCAATACCGTTCAGAACCAATCCTCACGAGAAAGTCTATCCAAGTGCTCGGTTTCTTTCTTACCCCTGTTTCTTCCTGGACCTCTCTGATGGCTCCCGTGTATATTTCTTCTGACTGCAAGAGGAAGAACAATTGCTTCAGTAACAGCGACACACATCGCGTACCATGGTTGCATCGCCGATGATCTTCAGTGCGTTCTTACCTCCTGAATGAACCCCGTGGGGAGTTTCCAGACACCATCCAACGCCCAGCCGCGGTACTTCTCCTGCACCACTAGGACCTGTCCGATTGTTCATGGAAATGCCATTAGTCCCACGAATTTATTCAGTCATTATCCTTTCAGATCAAAACTATTACTAGCACTGTGCGCGCGAGAGCTACCTCCATTTGATCATTGATCACGAAGCCCCCGACGCCGACCTGATGAGAAGCGTTCGCTGGGAGCAGAGACGGCTCGTCGGGGATCCAGTACGTCAGCATCAAGTAGGCCTCCTCCGCGTGGTGGTACTTGAATCCTTCCTGCACACAGATTTAGGGACATAGCATCAGTTTCAGTTCAGTGAACTACTGATTTTGTATCTAAGTTCAGACAGACTGATTTCAGTGACGACGGTAGTTAGTAATAGTATTCGTACCTTGACTGCTATGGGAACAAACTCAGATCGATCCACAGGCAGTTTCAGCCACACCCCTTTCTTTCCCTGCAAAAGGAATCACAGCACATGTAAATAACTGAACCAAGTGACAGTCAGTTGCTGATACATTTCATAAATTACTGAACTGGAGTTTTCTTTTTTTTTTTTGCGGGGGAACTGGAGTATTTCAAACCCCCATTTTCTCCCTCTCGATCTGTGCACGTACCACGGACTGCCAGTAGGAGAGGGACGCCGCGAGCGACCGGGCGAAGGCGGCCCCGTCGGCCGGCAGCCTGTCGGCGTCGACGACGACCCCGCTGTACTCGTCCTCGGAGGCCTCCAGCACGAAGTTGTTCTCGAGAGTCGTCCACCAATGGTGGCCGGTGGAGTCGGGCCAGTTGACGCCCATCCACTCGGGCTCGCTCCTGAACAGCTTCCTCCGCGCCGCCGACCTCACCCCGCTCAGCATCCGGCCGATGGAGTAGGACGCGCTCACCCCGTGCTCTGCACAACAGCAACGAAACACAGCGAGTGAGCTCACGCGATTCAGATAGGCGCCAGTGACCGACGGAGTGACAGACAGGAGCCCGTACCTCTGGAGGAGCCGGGGCAGTTGAAGAACCTCGCGGCGCTGCCGGCGCGGCCGCGGCGGCGCCCGCCCGGCGTGGAGCAGAGAGCGGCGGCGCCGGCCGTGTCGACCAAGCTGCAGCTCTCCATCGCTCACAAGTGGTGTCTGGACTAATCCCTTACCTCTTCTAGACAAAGTGCTACCCAAGTTGCAGTGCTATCACGAGCGATGCTACCGTTGAGGTATGAACTGATACGGCGTGCGCGCCTCGCGATGTCCGGGGGCGAATGGCTGAGCTCCACAGAGCGGCCGAGGAGCTTATAAAAATCTCGGCCCACGCCCACGTCAGTGTCACGGGGATAAGGGGCCACGCCGATGGCATGGGGATATTCGCGCGCCGGCTCAGAGTTACCGCCCGGCCGCACAAGGCACCCCTAACCCGATTGCTATCATTAGGAGTACTCCCTCCGTCCGGGTGTATAAGTCATTCGCGTAGTTCTAGGTCATCGATTTGAGGAATTAAATATGTGTTATATGTCATAAAAAGTATACCACTAGATTTCCACACGGATGTAGTTTCTAAATATATATTTTTTGTCACATATAATACATATTTAGATAGTTAAATTATCGACCTAGAACTACGCAAATGACTTATACACCGGGACGGAGGTAGTAGTTCCTTCGCAGTTACCACTACGCAAGCGAACAAAAACACTGTGTATACTAAACTAACTCGACGACAGTGCGCAGGAGAAACGACACGCAGATGCAGAACCCAGACGCATGTCATGTGGGTGCTGAGAATGCTGTCTGGCCGGTGGTGGAGGACGGGTGGGCGTGACGAGGACCCGCAACGCGGGACGCATCAATCAAGTGGCATCAGCAGTGCCGTGATCGCCGCCTAATCACCCCGTCACGCGGGCCACCACCCGCCCTTCTTGTTACTAGCTTTATTGATTGATTGGTTTTAGCGGTGGTTGCAATTAGTTAGGCCTCCGTGGTACCCTGTCCGCCTCCGTCTCTGCCGCGTGACTGGGCTCCGCGTCGGAGGGGGCCATCCAGTGTAGCTGAACTGAACTAGTGCAAATTTCCTCATCCAGATATCTTGATGATTGTCTCGGTCATGATGGTGTCCTCCCTGGCGCGCAACGCAGGCTGCACGCGTCAGCGACAGGAGATTTTTTCAATTAGTCTGAAGAAAAGTAGCAGACGATTTTTCTCACTTCGTAGGGAGCGAGTGCAACCGGTTTGGATGGTTCGCGCGTTCCGCACGTGATCGATGGTGGTCGGGCGGGGAACTCGTTTGGGATTGGATTGGATTGGGCGGGTTACGTGGAGACAGGTGGTGACGCCCGGCACGCGAAAGGTGCTACGGAAGCTCGGACGGGTCTAGAAGGCGACGCCGGCGCGGCAACACGTGGGAACGACCCGGGCTGCTCCGGGAGCGGAGGAGCAGGCCGCCGCCTAGACGCGTCTCCGGCGGCCATGCACGCGACGTGGCGAGCGCTGCGTGCTGGACCGTCGGGTTCGGTCTCGTGGGCGCGGTCTGCGTTGCGGGCTCCGAGTTCCCATGCACGAGCCGAGGTGGCTGCGCTGCGAGCCACAGATCGTGGTGGTGTTCTGTTTCAATTCTGCGGGCCACCGTGTTCTTCTTTTTTAAACATATGTACAGACACAAGGGCTCACATACACGCACATACACTCATCCTTATAAACACACGAACATTTTGTTTGGTTAATGCCCAATGTCATGCTCGCTCCATTCCATTCTGTCAGGTAGCTAGCTATGTATTCCCTCTATAGACAAACCGACTGGCTAGGGGTAACTTGATTGGAAATTAAATTTGAATCAGTCGATTATTTGCTAGCCGTTGAATATGAAATGAGAGGCCATATTTGTTTCTCCAACTTCCTGCCTCATCTACTAGGAGTATTCACCTTCCTCCCTGAAACCTCCGCACATACCACCGGCCTAACCGCCGTCCTCTGCCCCCCGCGGCCGCCAGCGCTCCCACACCAGCCCGGCTACCTCATCCTCCCCTCAAACACCGCCTACCGTCGTGCTTTCTCCGCCCACGACCATTCCTATACCCCCCCTCCAACTCTGACATCGGGTCGTCGGCGGACCTCCAACTCTGACGTCGGGTCGTCGACGGACCTCTTCCCTGAAAAGAGGAGTAATGTTTCGTTTTTGCCGTCCGTCTCGTCACGCCAAGCCTCGCGCGTTTGTCATGTTTCATGAACAAACCTAGTCGAAAGTGTGCATTTTACTTTTTTGCCTGTCAAGCACGGATAGTTGATTGACAATTAACTATGAGTTATTAATGGATGCATCACATAACAGCCATATCTGAACCATCAGATCAAGGGGGCCGGGTCAAACATCTTCTTACGCGACCACATATATATTGGAGGTAGTGGTAATCCTAGCCACCACCTGACAAGATCGCAAATGCTCTTTCTCCTTGCGCACAACCCATCATCGTTCCTCTCGCTTCAATGCCTGGGAGCACGACGTTCATCTCCTGCGGCAACAACTTAAGCTGTCATCGAGAGGTGTGAGCGGAGGCTCCCTCGTGGATACACGCCACGACCTCATAGGCTCATACCCCTGGGGTCGGAGCCGCTTTCCTGGTTGCAGAGAGAGTGATGCTCGTCCCGACTGTGGCGTATTTCGCGCCGCCTCTCACAGCGTGGCTGGCGCCGGCTGTCTAGGAGGACTTCGACCTCCCGACAGTACATGAGGTCGTGCTTGTCGAATAGGTGCAACCGGGCACCACCAGAATGCATGTGTCCTGCTTGGAGGCTCTAGTCCTCCTCTTAGATTGAGAGCATCACGAAGGCTAGCGGTACGAGCGAGTGTGGAGGCCCCGACGGGGAGGCGGGGCATGGAGCGACGCTATCCTGCCTCGTCGCGTGAAGGACTCGCCGACCATGGTGGCAACGAGGGAACTTCGACACCTCAAGTGGCGAAGATCGACACTCTTGGTTGCCGGCCGGTGACAGACGATGTCTACTAGCCCGTCAATCTCTCGAAGGGAGGGTGAACGTGCATGGTTGCAGCGCGGCCGTTTGAGCTGCCTTGTCATCATCTAACTAACTGGCGACATGCATGTCAGTATGGGCGCGACGCTTGGCGGCGTGGTGCCCTTTGAAGGGAAAACGTCCGTAGCATCATGACAACGTGTCATTGTGAAACAAGAGAGAAGAAGAATTGGATCGGCACAACCCAAAAGGTGGCCTCAGGACGTATATATATACTCGGCCACTAGGGCACAACCGGCGCACTGGGATACATCAGATAGATACAAGTTGTTACATGAGATAATGACTATGAAGGGATAAGAGATATTAACTAACTCCATGTACAATATCTAACATGTTTAACATCCCCCTTCAATCTAAACTTCTTACTAGAAGATTGAGATTGTGTCTGTTTGAGACAAACGCCGATTCTGCCAATGGTTTAGTGAAGATATCAGCAGTCTGTTCCTTGGAAGAGATGAACCTTACATCAAGTGCTTTAGTCGCGACCCTTTCACGTACAAAGTGAAAATCCACCTCTATTTGTTTCGTTCTGGCATGAAATACTGGGTTGGCAGACAAATAGGCAGCACCCGGATTGTCACACCACAGAACTGGAGGTCGAGACATAAAGACTCCAAGCTCACCAAGAACAGATTGTATCCAGATTACTTCAGCTGTTCCATTTGCTAGTGCCTTGTATTCAGACTCAGTACTCGAACGTGAGACAGTGGCTTGCTTTCTTGAGCTCCAAGACGCAAGATTGGGTCCAACAAATACCGTAAAACCACCTGTGGATTTTCGATCATCACTGCACCCAGCCCAATCCGCATCCGAGAAGCAGCTCAGCAACAACGAGGGTGATCTCCGTATGAAGAGGCCCATATCACGTGTGTGCTTCGAATACCGCAGAATGCGTTTGGCAGCTAAAAAATGCACGATGGTTGGTGTGTGTAAGAACTGACAAACTCGATTGACTACAAAAGAGATATCCGGTCTCATGAGTGTCAAGTACTGAAGCGCCCTAACCAGACTCCAATATTTAGTGATGCCATCCTGTCCAAGAGACGATCCACTGTCCTTGCTGATCTTTTCACTTGAAGACATGGGCGTGATTGATACCTTACAGTTTTCCATGTTTGCACGGTGAAGTATGTCGCCAATATATTTCTGTTGAGACAGAACAATGCCCCCTGGCGAGGACGTCACCTGAACTCCAAGGAAATAATGCAAGGGGCCAAGATCCTTGAGAGAAAACAGGGCTTGAAGATCAGCGAGTAACTTGGTTGTGGCAGATGAAGATGAGCTGGCCACGATGATATCATCAACATAGACAAGCATGAAAATAGTGACACCGCCATAGTTGAAAACAAAGAGTGATGTATAAGCCTTAGATGCCAAAAACCAAGTTGCTGAAGTCTAGAGCTTAACCGAGAGTACCACGCATGAGGGGCCTGTTTGAGACCATAGAGAGCCTTGTTGAGCTTACATTAGTATCGGGGGGCAGAAGGATCCTCACACCAAGGAGGCTGACGCATGTAGACATCCTCCTGAAGAATGCCATGAAGAAAATCATTTTGGACATCCAACTGTCGCAAACACCAACCACGTGAACCAACAATGGAAAGAACGAGACGTATAGTGACGGGTTTGACCACTGGGCTGAAAGTATCATCATAGTCCAACCCATACCTTTGCTTGAACCCCTTGGCAACAAGATGAGCCTTGAGACGTTCAACAGAACCATCAACCTTGTGCTTGATCTTGTAGACCCACTTACAGTAAATAATGTTGACACGCCGTGGTGGAGGAACAAGCGTCCATGTACCATTTTGGTGAAGAGCATCAAGTTCTGCCTGCATTGCCGCACACCATGCAGGGGACTGAAAAGCTTCATGATGATTTGCAGGTTCACGGAGAGCAAGAAACACACGCTTGGACGGATCATATGTGATCGTTCCATTGGTGCGATGCTTAGCATGACGAGTGTGATCACGTGTCCGGGTGACCATAGCGTGAACAGGTGGTGCAGAAGATCCGGGGGCCGCAGAAGATCCAATGGCGGCAGAGGCAGATGCGGCAGCAGCCGCTGTCGCCTCGGATCCACTGCTGGAGCCGGCCA